AAAAAAAAAAAAAAAAAAAGAGAAAGCCATGCAAATAATTTACAGGGATTAGTAGTTTGATTTTAAATGTATAATGTAAGTGTGACGTTGCATCAAAAAAACTGGACAAGTAGTGATAGATTTTCAAAATTAACATTTGTAATAAATTAAAAAAAATAACATTTGTAGTACATATAAAAAATAAAATAATATTTAATGTTTTCAACTATCAATATCACTTACACATATGAAGAAACACAATATATGTTTAAATAACTTTATGATAACCAAATTATTCCTAAACCATGTGATTTCTTTTTCATTTGAATCAAAAACATTTTTATAGTAGTTAATTCTGTTCATAAATGGCAGAAATATACAGTACAGCCCAAGCTTGATATTACTATATACTCAAATCACTGTATCACACCTTGTATGAAGTGGATGTGATAATAATTTCTATTTGCAAATACACTGGGTTTTGGAAATTTTTTCTGGAAACCATCCTTAATAAAAGTAAACATTAAATGGGGATTTACTGAGTTGGTTGAATACAATATGATGCAATGAAAAATTTTGGGTGGCTGGTGGGGGGTCTGGGTGTCTCAGTCAGTTTAGTGTCTGATTCTTGCTTTTGGCTCAGGTCATGATCTCATGGTAGTGATATGGGGCCCTATGTGGGGCTCTGTGCTAAACCTGGAATCTTCTTAGGATTAGTTCTCTGGGCCTCCCCTGCTCAAGCACGTGCATACATGTCTCTCTGTCCCTCAAAATTAATAAATAAGCTTTAAAAAACAATTTTTTCTTTATTGTTTCTTGACTCTGGTTTCAAGCTGGATTTGAATAAAACCTAGCTATTAAGGAGAAAAATGAGATACAAAAGAAAACACCTTTGCCCTCTGAAATGTACCCTTAAAATATTTAACCATTTTAAATGTCAAGAATATTGTAAAAAATATATGATAATAGAGAATCACTTAAAGAAAAGCCATGTTTAAGTCCCAAAACACATTTTTTATAGGTTTTCAGGGTTTGCTGTAGCAATATTTTTTTCTGGAGCTGTTTTATTCCTTTGTCTACTACCTCTAGCATTATTTTGCAAGAACTGAAAGCAGAAACGAAGTACCCATGGAGAAGGACTGTTCTTCAATATTCTGCTCAACTTTAGGTAGGGAATATAAAACATAACAAAAAAGCGCACTCTTAAAACCCTTTCTTAGTTTTTTGCAGATCAATGTTGCAGATTCCTAATGTGCTTAAGATTCGAAAAGTTTAGAATATCAAACTAAATGTTAAGTTCTAAATAGCCATAAACTTTTATAAATAGATTGCATTTTGCTGAAAACAAAACAAAAGGAGGTTCCAAGAAAATACAATTACAGTATCACCCAAATGGTTCAAAGAACTATACCAATTGAGTATTTGTGTTTGATAAACACTGCATTGTAATCTAAATATCACTCACTCCAATATTTAACTTATTTATCTTAATGACATTTTATTAGAAAAGAGGTTACGGAATAAATGACATATTCTTAAAAATCACCAGCCTAAGTATATTTAGAAATCAAGGTGAAAACATATTACAGTAAATATTTCTAATCACTAACTTGATAGTCTACTGTCTTGTTACTGATTTTTTTTAGTTTCATAGTTTCCTCTAAACTTCCCTAACAAGAAAATTAGCATTTGTCATTACAATTATGCTAGTAATTTTTTAAAGGTTAGGAACCCAGTAGCATTAAAAACATAAAGGGAGGGGCCAAGATGGCTGAACAGCATGGAAATGCTGTTCTCCTCCCTGAAATGCAGCCAGATCAATACCAAACCATTTTGCACGCCTAGAAAACTGATCTGAGGATTAACACAACGATCTGCACATGAAGCACAGAACTTGGCAGGTACACGGCGCAGAGAAGTGAACTGGAGGAGAGAGAAGCCCTGTGGGGCAGGGAGCTATTTTATTTTTAACCTGAGGAGAGAGGACAGAGATGTGGAAGCGGGGGCGGGGGAGGAGGAAAGAGTATGGGAAAAGCACCCCCCACCGAAAGCAGCTGGAGAGAAAGAGGAGTGGAAACAGCCACAAGGGAATGGACAAAAAAGGGAGAAAGGAGAGGGTTTAAATTCCGTTAAGCTACTATAAGCAGGGGAGCACAGAGTCTGAAACTTCACAGCTCTATACCTGGTGGTGCTCTGGTGGGAAGGACGAATCCCCAGCAGATAGCGCGTCCGAGGGTTTCTTGGGCCACATGGAGAGAGGTGGATACCCTGCTGGGAGGCTATGTGGCCTCCTCACAGCAAAGGTCCCAGTGAACCCCGGAGAATGGCTACATTCGCTGGCGCTGGAACAAGGACGTTAAGGGTGAAGCCTGGTGCCAGAAGTGTTGCAATTTACCAGAATCCCCGAAAAACTGCTGCTACAAGATTGTGCAAACTTTTTCTGGGGCGAGCTGACACCAGCGCGCAGTCTCTGGGCATCCGCAGCAGCACAGTCTCACAAATGTACCTGCGGGCAGGCGGGCACCTGGCCTTTTCTTGGGGAGACCCTCCCCCAGAGGGTCTGAGCGGGTCAAAGCCACAGTCCCTCAAAAGTGAGGAATTGGGAAACACAGCCCCATCTGAGATAAAACTCAGGAGGAGATGCTGCCGGGCAGCCTGACAGCTTGGTCACTGACAGTGTAGAAGCGGAGAGTGGATGGAAGCCGGAGACAAAGGAGGGGTGCTTGATTGCTGGTCGGGGTGAAAGCACAAACTTCTGATACTAGAGACTGGGTGACGCCATTTTCTCCCGTCCCACGCGTACACGCACACGCCTACACGCGCCACAATCCACCCCAGTAAGCTAAGCAGCGCCATCTAGTGGAGAACAGAGACATTACACTAAGCCCCGCCCAACTGGGCCCTGCTCTTGAGGAACACAAGTCTCTCTGCCTGATTAATTTATGGACTATAAAGTGCTTCATAGTTTGACTTCTAAGGGAAATCAGATATAAATTCAATCATATTTCACTGTTTGCTGCTCCATCTATTCAATTTTCTTTCTTTTCTTATTCTTGAATACAGAAAGAGAAAAAATTTATTTTTATTTTCCGTTTTTATAAAAAAAGATTTTTATTCATCTTTAACTATATTTTTAACTATTTTGTTAATTTTAAAATTCTATTTTACTTTCATCATTTCATTTTATTCTATCTTACCATAATCATTTTTTCAAATTTTTAAACGTTTCCCTTTTTTTGTCCTTTTTTCCCTTTTCTTTTCTTTCCCTTTCCCTTTTCTTTTCAACCAGACCAAAACACACCAAGGTTCCAGCATCATTTATTTTATTTTTTTGTGTTGTTTTAAATTTTTATTTTATTTATTTTTTTACTTTATTAGTTCCTTTTCTTCCTTCAAAATGATGAAATGAAGGAATTAACCCCAAAAGGAAAGAACAGGAAGAAGTGACAGCCAAGGACTCAATCAACACAGATAGAAGCAAGATGTCTGAACCAGAATTTAGAATCATGATATTAAGAATACTAGCTTGAGTTGAAAATAGCATAGAATCCCTTTCTGCAGAGATAAAAGAAGTAAAATCTTGTCAGGATGAAATTAACAATGCTATGACCGAGCTGCAATCTCAAATATATGCCATGGCAGCAAAGAAGGATGAAGCAGAACAGCAAAACAATGATATAGAGGACAAACTTATGAAGAATAATAAAGCAGAATTAAAAGAGGTAGACTAAGTCAAAAGAGCATGACGTAAGAATTAGAGAACTCAGTGAACCATTACAAAGGAATAACATCAACATATGGGTCCCAGAAGATGAAGAGAGAGAAAGAGGGATAGAAGGATTTTGTGAGCAAATCATGGTGGAAAACTTTCCTAACCTGGGGAAAGACACAGACATCAAAATCCAGGAAGCACAGAGGACTCCCATCAGATTCAACAAAAACTGACCATCAACAAGGCATATCATAGTCATATTCACAAAATACTCAGGCAAAGAAAGAATCATGAAAGCAGCAAGAGAAAAAAGTCCCTAACCTACAAGAGAAGACAGATCAGGTTCACAGCAAACCTATCCACAGAAATTTGGCAGGCCAGAAAGGAGCAGCAGGATACATTCAGTGTGCTGAATCAGAAAAATATTCAGCCAAGAATTCTGTATCCAGCAAGTCTGTCATTCAAAATAAAAGGAGAGATAAAAAGTTTCCCATACAAACAAAAACTAAAGGAGTTCATGACCACTAAATGAGCCCTGAAAGAAATTTTAAGGGGGACTCTTTGAAGGCAGAAAACAAAAACAGAAACAAAAACAAAAACAAACAAACAAACAAAACCAGAAAGACTAAAAGCAACAAAGACTAGAAAGGACCAGAGAATACCACCAGAAAGTCTATAGGCAATATAATGCCAATGAGTTCATATCCTTCAGCACTCACTGGAAATGATCACTCTAAATGTCAATAGACTAAATGCTCCAATCAAGACATAGGTCAACAGATGGGTAAGAAAACAAAATCCATCTATATGCTGTTTACAACAGACCCATTTGAGACCTAAAGACACCTTCAGATTGTAAATAAGGGGATGAAGATCCATCTATTATGCTAATGGATGCCAAAAGAAAGCCAGAGTAGCCATACTTATATCGGATAATCTAGATTTTAAAATAAAGACTGTAGCAAGAGATGAAGAAGGGCATTATATCATAATTAAGGGGTCTATTCACCAAAACAATCTAACAATTGTGAACATTTATGCTTCAAATGTAGAACACCCAAATATATAAGTCAGTTAATCATAAACATAAAGAAACTCATTGATAATACTAGCATAACAGTAGGGGATTTCAACACCCCACTTACAGCAACAGAAATATCATCTAAACAGAAAATCAACAAGGAAACAATGGCTTTGAATGACACACTGAACAGGATGGACTTAACACATATATTCAGAACATTTCATCCTAAAGCAGCAGGATACACATTCTCCTATAGTGTACATGGAACGTTCTCCAGAATAGATCACATACTAGGATACAAATCAGCCCCCAACAAGTACAAAAAAATTGAGATCATATGGTGCATATTTTCAGACCACAATGCTATGAAACTCAAAATCAACCACAAGAAAAAAATTGGATACATAACAAATATTTGGAGACTAAAGAACATCCTACTAAAGAATGAATGGGCTAATCAAGAAGTTAAAGAGGAAGTTAAAAAGTACATGGAAGCCAATGAAAATGATAACACCACATTGCTGCTCTGGGATGCAGCAAAGGCAGTCATAAGAGAGAAGTATATAGCAATCCAGGCCTTCCTAAAGAAGGAAGAAAGGTCTCAGATACACACCCTAACCTTACACCTTAAAGAGCTGTAAAAAGTAAAGCAAATAAAACCCAAAACTAGCAGAGGACAGGAAATAATAAAGATTAGAGATCAATGAAATTGAATCAAAGCAAACAAACAAACAAAAAACAGTACAACAGATCAATAAAACCAGGAGCTGGTTCTTTGAAAGAATTAACAAAATTGATAAACCCCTAGCCAGTTTGATCAAAAAGAAAAAGGGAAGGACCCAAGTAAATAAAATCAAGAATGAAAGAGGAGCGATCACAACCAACACAGCAGAAATACACAGTAATAAGAGAATAATATTATGAGCAATTATACGCCAATGAAATGGGCAATCTGGAAGAAATGGACAAACTCCTAGAAACACATAAACTACTAAAACCAAAACAAGAAGAAATAGAAAATTTGAACAGACCCATAATTGGTAAATAAATATAATTAGTAATCAATAATCTCCCAAAAATCAAGAGTCCAGAGCCAGATGTCTTTCCAAGGGAATTCTACCAAACACTTAAAGAAGAGTTAACATGTATTCTTTTGAAGCTGTTTTTAAAAGTAGAAATGAAAGGAAAACTTCCAAACCATTCTATGAAGCCAGAATTACCTCAATTCCAAAACCAAAGACCCAACTAAAAAGGAGAACTACAGACTGATTTCCCTGATGAACGTGGATGCAAAAATCCTCAACAAGATACTAGCCAACCGGATCCAGTAACACTTAAAAAGAGTTATTTAACATGACCAAGTGGAATTTATACCTGGGATGCAGGGCTGGTTCAATATCCACAAAAACAATCAATGTGATACATTACATCAATAAAAGAAAGGACAAAAAACACATGATCCTCTCAATAGATGCAGAGAAAGCATTCGAAAAAAATACAGCATCCTTTCTTTATAAACACCCTCAGGACAGGAGGGATAGAAGGATAATACCTCAAGATCATAAAAGCCATATATAAAGACCCACCGCCAATATCATCCTCAATGGTGAAAAACTGAGAGCTTTCCCCTGAGGTCAGAAACATGACAGTGATGTACACTCTCACCACTGTTATTCAATAGTTTTGGAAGTCTTAGCCTCATCAATCAGACAACACAAAGGACTAAAAAGCATCCAAATGAGCCGGAAGGAAGTCAAACTTTCACTCTTCACAGATGACATGATACTGTATATGGAAAACCCAAAAGATTCCACCAAAGAGCTGCTAGAACTGATTCATGAATTCAGCAAAGTCGCAGTATATAAAATCAATACACAGAGATCGGTTTCATTCCTATACACCAATAATGAAGCAACAGAAAGAGAAATCAAGGAATCGATCCCATTTACAATTGCACCAAAACCATAAAATAAACCTAGGAATACACCTAACTAAAGAGGAGAAAAATCTATACACTGAAAATTATAGAAAAGTTATGAAAGAAATGGAAGAAGACATTAAAAAATGGAAAAAAATATTCCATGCTCCTGGATTGGAAGAAAAAAATATTTTTAAAATGTCAACACTACCCAAATAAATCTACATATTTAATCCATTCCCTATCAAAATAACACCAGAATTCTTCACAGAGCTACAACAAACAATCCTAAAATTTGTATGGAACCAGAAAATACCCCAAATAGCCAAAGCAATCCTGAAAAAGAAAACCAATGCTGGAGGCATCACAATCGTGGATTTCAAGATGAATTACTAAGCTGTAATCATCAAGACAGTATGGTACTGGCACAAAAACAGACACCCAGATCGATAGAACAGAATGGAGAACCCAGAAATGGACCCACAAACATATGGCCAACTAATCTTTGACAAAGCAGGAAAGAATATCCAAATGGAATAAAGACAATCTCTTCAGCAAGTGGTGCTGGGAAAACTGGACAGCAACATGCAGAAGAATGAACCTGGACCACTTTCTTACACCACACACAAAAATGAACTCAAAATGGATATAAGACCTAAATGTAAGATAGGAAGGCATGAAAATCCTAGAGGAGAAAGCAGGCCAAAACCTCTTTGACTTTGGCTGTAGCAACTTCTTACTCAACAAGTCTCCAGAGGCAAGGGAACCCAAAGCAAAAATTAACTATTGGGACCTCATCAAAATAAAAAGCTTCTGCACAACCAAGGAAATAATCAGCTAACCGAAAAGTCAACCAATGGAATGGGAAAAGATACTTCTAAAGACCTATCAGATAAAGGTTTAGTATTGAAAACCTAGAAAGAACTTATCAAACTCAACACCCCAAAAGCAAATAACCCAGTGAAGAAATGGGCAAAAGACATGAATAGACACTTCTCCAAACCATACATCAAAATGGCTAACAGACACATGAGAAAATGCTCAACATCACTCATCATCAGGGAAATACAAATCAAACCACAATGAGATACCACCTCACACCTATCAGAATGGCTAACATTAACAACTCAGGCAACAACAGATGTTCACGAGGATGAGGAGAAAGAGGATCTCTTGTGCACTGCTGGTGGGCATGCAAACTAGTAGCCACTCTGGAAAACAGTATGGAGGTTCCTCAAAAAATTAAAAATAGAACTACCCTATGATCCAGCAACTTCAGTATAGGTATTTATCCAAGGGATACAGGTGTGCTGTTTCGAAGGGACACATGTACCCCAATGTTTATAGTAGTGCTATTGACAATAGTCAAAGTATGAAAAGAGCTCAAATGTCCATCAATGGATGGATGGATAAGAAGAGGTAAATATATACAATGGAGTATTACTTGGCAATCAAAAAGAATGAAATCTTGCCATTTGCAACTATGTGGATCGAACTGGAGGGTATTATGCTAAGTGAAATTAGTCAGTCACAGAAAGACAAATAACATATGACTTCACTCACATGAGGACTTTAAGATACAATACAGATGAACCTAAGAAAAGGGAAGCAAAAATAATAGAAAAACACGGAGGGGGACAAAACAGAAGAGACTCTTAAATATGAGAGCAAACAGAGGGTTGCTAGAGGGGTTGTGTGAGGGGGATGGGTTAAATGGGTAAGGGGCATTAAAGTAGACACTTGTTGGGATGAGTACTGGGTATTATACATAGGGGATGAATAACTGGAATATATTCCTGAAATCATTGTTGCACTATATGCTAACTTGGATGTAAATTTAAAAAAAATTTTAAATTTAAAAAAACATAAAATTTTTATTTTTATAATTTAATTTTTGTGTCTGCCCTTTAATCTCATCATATTATCCTAAGAAGAGCCTTTATTGAATTTTACAAGTAATTACAACATTTATTTTATGTAATCACTCAGGAGTGTATTAAAACTGTGGTTGGGGTTATTTTAAGAGCATTTAGTTCTTAAAAAAAAAGGAAAGGAAACTCAGGTCTTAGGTCTCTGAAAAGGAAAATATAGACTGACAACCCTAGATAAATATGGGAAGTAAGGGGTAATTGGGGTCATTCAATAATGAGTTAAAAATTTGTGGATCAGCTTTTGGAAAAAATTTGTAGTGTTCATCTCTCTGAATCCTGCTGGAAAAATTGCTCTAACCATGATTCTATACTATTTTCAGAGAAAGGTATTTTCACGCTATTATAAATTTCCACAGAGCTACAAGTTCTGAGACAGAATTACATGTAATGGGCATTATGGGAAAACATACCCTGGCAAGCCAGGATCCCAATGTAGAATAAAAACAAGTAGAGTTCTTTCAGATTTTGCTATTTCTGGGGTATTTAAACTTGATAATACATAAGAATATCTTAAATTTCCTCAGAAGATTTTAATTCTAGAATGATGTTGAGGTATTATCTAGCAAACCTATGTACAACTTTTAAGATAGAAGCATACAAAAATACTCCGAAAAGATAGCAAGTTTTAATTAAAATTAATCTAGACTGCTTGCTTATTTGTCCATATGTTGTCATTGTGCTAACATGTTCCAGCATCTTATCTGGTGATCATTTAAATTATTATGAATAAAATGATGCCCCCTTTCGGTCAGCCAGTGGTCTGTCCCGCCTGGTGATTCTTCATGGTTTCTGGAGTCAAATTTCATACATTTTAGAATAGCTTTCAACTCTCCAAGAGTCCACAATACAAATGCCTCACATTTCCTAATTGCCATAGATATTCAGAGTCACTTTTTCCTACTTCATTTGTCACACGAAAGTATAATTCTTATATCTTTCTATTTGGCCACAACCTTTAGTTCTCTAGCTACTCCTAAGCAGTCTTTTCCTCTTATTTCTGGAACTTATTTTTCTGCCAAAATGAATTAATCTCCACTTTGTCCCTATTGAACTCAATTCGATTTATATCTTCCCACTTCTCCAATTTGTCAAGATGTTTTGAATTTAAATCTTAAAATAAGAAAGTCAGTCCACCCAAGTAGATGTCATCAGTACAAACACACTTTGTATTGACTCAAGTGATTGATAGAAGAGTGTTTGCTTCATGCCTGGAAGGTGTCAATCTGAATGGTCTTTTCCCCCCAAAGTTAATTCAGAAATACTGCTAACTGCGGTGATTACATTTATTACACAAAGGGAAAAATTTGATGCCAACAGTCTGTTTTTAAATTTCTTCAGTACTTTATACATACCATGCTAGACTAAGTAAATTGAGATTAATCAAATCTATTTTGTCAGTCTCACCATTCTAAAGAAAATAAAATTAAATAAAGTTTTGGAAATTTTTACTGATGACGTTTCTCTATTTCTATTTTCAATTAATTAGTGGGGAGGAGGAGTTACTGGAGATTTCCAAATATTTTATGTTACAATATAGAACAAATGAAAAACAGTATTATAAAGTTATCAGTAAAACTTAGGTATCCAATGTATGTTTATCATGCATGAAACAAAATACATTAATATAATCCTAAATATTCTTACATTGGTAATGTCCATAAGAATTTGGATTAGCATATTTAGCTTATTTTCTTTTTTTTTTTTTTTTTTTTTTTTTTTTTTTTTTTTTTCAACGTTTTTTATTTATTTTTGGGACAGAGAGAGACAGAGCATGAACGGGCGAGGGGCAGAGAGAGAGGGAGACACAGAATCGGAAACAGGCTCCAGGCTCTGAGCCATCAGCCCAGAGCCCGACGCGGGGCTCGAACTCACGGACCGCGAGATCGTGACCTGGCTGAAGTCGGACGCTTAACCGACTGCGCCACCCAGGCGCCCCTAGCTTATTTTCATATCAAAAACTCTGGATATTTTGACATAGAAACAATCATTGGATTCATATCTATTATATGTAAGTTTCAAAATGTATGACTGTTCCCTTTACCTCATAACAGTGAATAATACTACTTTTTCTCCTTCCTTTATCTTCAATTTCATAAAATACACACAAAATCCATTTCGCATATTCTTCAAATCAGAAAAGTGACTTAATAAATACGTGTTCTTATATGCTTTTTGATTACTCCAGGATTGATTGGTTTTTTTCATAATAAACAATTTCAGAAACCAAAAGGAAACTGTAGATGATTCATTTATTATGATCATCTGGATATATACAATGCAGATGAATTTGGAACTTTCTTAAGTGTTTACATCAAAACCTGTAACAATTTAGAAAATCACAGTAGGGAGACCAAAATTATTTACAAAGGGTCATTTATTAAACACTTTTTTTTTTTTTTTTTTTACAAAATACAAAGATTGTTGTTCTGCATGAATACATCATATATGAAAAAATAATGTTTTTACTGAATCTAATTTGAAGACATTCAGAATTTTATCTTCTACCAACTTGAGGAGTCAATTTTGCTTTGCAACTTGTCCAATACCATCACCAATCAAGGGAAATATTTTTCTTGTTAATTAAATCATACAACAGCTAGCATTTTCAAGAAATAAAATCAGACAAAGTCTGTCATACAAAGCTCTTTCTGCAAGTTAACTGATTTGCCTATGATCCTAATTTTTTTTGTCAAGCTATAAGATAGGAAGAATTGAGGAGCTAGGTAAGTTTTATAATAATGTATTAGCAGCAGTTGATAGAAAATGCAACATAAGATTTGTTTTGTCTGTGGTACAAGAATATGTCCTATCAGACTCTAATGTATTTTTCTCTACTTGAACACAAGTAAGCACGTGCTGATTGTTTCTGGGATGACAAAATGCATAAACAGACAGGAAGCTGGTTCTGGTTGTCATCGTAAGTGCCTATTTTCATCAGCTAATATGAATGCGTTGCTAAACTTAGTGAAGACAGGAAAATGACTTAAGGGTAATATATACAGAGTTAAAATACATTTTTTATCCACTTAAGAATGATTTCAGGCACTGTGGCTATTCAGGATAAAATGTTTCATGGTTTGTTCTCGATAGCAATTTAAGTGTCAGTGCAAGCAAAAGCAAATACCTGCCCACTGTCATACACATGACCTTGTACATCTGGAATGTTCAAAGCAAGTTTGTCTTCTGCATCTTCACTCTGGAGGCATCTTGAATTAAAAGGTCTCATAGTTTGCTCTTGATAGCAATTTAATTTTCAGTGCAAGCAAAAGCAAACATACCTACTTACTGTCACACACACGACCAACACATCTGGAACAGTCAAAGCAAGTTCACCTCCATCTTCACTGTGGAAGCATCTTTAGTAAGTGGCACTTAGTGTAAACCCTCTATAAATCATGAAAACAGACTGGAGATGCCTGAATTTAATAATAATTAAAAATCACTGTCATAGTCATCTCTCTGTGTAAACGATGTTTGAGTAAGGCTTGCCATCACGACATTTCTTTCCTGAGAATGGAGCTGATCCTCTATGTGTATCATAAGTGTGCATGCTCTGAGCTGTGGTCACTGTCGTGGCTGTCTTCATTTGCTAGAGAGTCCCCTGTTTGCTGGAGGGTGGCTGCACCAATCCCCGAGAGCTCGGAAGGGAGAAGTGTTCCCTTTTTGACATTCACCAGTTCCTTTTCTCGAGCTGCAGCTCCTTGCTGCCCTCCTTTTACTCTCTTCCATTTCATGCGCCTGTTCTGGAACCAGACTTTCACCTTAACAAAGAAAAGGAACAAACAGAAGAAAGAAAAACAAGAAAGAAAATGAAATGGGATTTTTCCCCTCCTTTTCTGCCGTCAATGAAAAAATAACTCCTCAAAGACTTAGACAAGGACACTGTGAAGGACTGAATATGAAAATAAACCAGCACTGAATTTAATCAGATCCCATACTGATGATAGTGATTTAAACTTCCAGAAGATGCACACAAAGTACTCTATTTTGTATTTTATGACATACAGTATTAAAAAATAGATGGGAAAGAATACTGTCATTTTGGGTTGCTCAAGGGTACTTGGCTTTATAAAGAGTATCTATGAATCTCAGCCAACATTTTAATAGTTTTCTTGGTCAAACATTTTTTCTTCCCAAGTCCTTTGATTTGACATCCAGCTGCCAATTCCTGAACCAATCTGAAACATACTCAGAGAGCTACTGGTGAAGCTACATCTTAAAGGACCATTCTGGGCCACTGCAGCCCGCTACTGCATTCACAAAGCTGTATGTGACCGTACCACCGGTGTGAGTTCATCTTATAAACTATATATCATATTTTGAACTCTCTCTCTCTCTCTCTCTATATATATATATATATACATACAACTAAATACACGTGTATATTTCACATCAGCTTTGTAGACATAAGTTTTCCTTCTAAAATTTAATTGAATTTGCCTGATACATTAAAGTTATATATATATATATATATATATATATATATATATATATATGGTATATGTACATATATATCATAAAACAAAAAATTAAATAAATATACATTAAATGACCATTTATTTTCAGAACCAGAATAATATTGGCACATTTTATCTTCTTGTTTTAGAGGAACTTTATGTTCCTTTCACATTGCATTTCTCATCATTATGTATTCTTGTAAACTGTCCCTTTTACATTTCATTGATCTGTCTACTCCATTCAAAGCCTAAATTTTATGCTTATCATCTCCAATCCTTCAAATAAAACAACCAAACAACACAAAGTATTTTTCACAATATGTGACCTGAAAAAGTACTGTGTAATTTTGCTTGTCTTTTAGGTTTATCCAAATAGAATGTTTCTAACTACAGGCTTCTTGATCTATCCATGTTGATTCAAGAGACTGCAGTCATTCATTCTTTATGATTGTATACTATTCCACTGTATGAATATACCAGTTTATCCACTCTTCTGTCCATGGGCACTTGAATTCTTCCCCCCCACCTTTTATACATGATGATACTATAAACATTTTTGCATTTGTGTTCTGAGAAACATATGATCAAACTTCTCTGAGTATATATCCAGAGTTTGTATCAATGGGTCACAGGATATATGATCATTCAACTTAACACGATAATACAGAAAAACTGTTTTCAAAATTGCATCAATTTATCCACTGCTGCCACGTATACACATAGAGTCCAGAGTGTAAAAGTTGTTATTGATCCACATCTATATCAACATTTGGAGTTATCAATTTTTATCCAATATAATGACTATAAATGTTATCTTACCATGTTCCTATTTTGCATTTGCTGATTACTAATGAGTAAAGTATATTTAAAATGATGCTTAAATCTTCTTTTGTGAAATCCCTCTATATGCCGTTGGCATTGAAGTCTTCTTAAATTAGTTTTATTCTTTATAGACTTTTAAAATATATTTTGAATGCTAATTTAATGCTTTGTGCTTATATGGCTGCTACTAATTTCTCTCAATTTATAGTCTTTTTCGTTTCCTTAGAGTGTCTTTTGATGCTCAGAAATCCTAACGTTTAAAATACTCAAATTTAGTGGATGGAACTGGAGGGTATTATGCTAAGTGGAATTAGTCAGTCAGAGACAGACAAATATCATATGACTTCACTCATATGAGGACTTTAAGAGAAAACAGGTGGACATAAGGGAAGGGAAACAAAAATAATATAAAAACAGGGAGGGGGACAAAACAGAAGAGACTCATAAATATGGAGAACAAACTGAGGGTTACTGGAGGGGTTGTGGGAGAGGGGGATGAGCTAAATGGGTAAGGGGCACTAAGGAATCTACTCCTGAAATCATTGTTTCACTATATGCTAACTAATTTGGATGTAAATTAAAAAAAAAAAAAAGAAAATTAAAAAAAGAAATAAATACTCAAATTTATCAATTGCTATCATTTTTATGTCTTCATTAAGAACCCTCTTTCTGCTGAGGCCATTAAGATATTTTTCTAAGTGGTCTTCTATGACATTTAAGGTTTGCATTTCACATTGAAGTGTTTAATCCATGAAGTATTGATTTTAGTATACAGTGCAAAGATCAAATTTTACTTTATTCTGTATGGATAACAAATTGCCGCAAAACCATTAATTAAATAGTCCACGCTTTTTCTCCTGTGATTCCTATTTCAACTATGTCATAAACCAAGTTTCCATGTATGCTATAGCCTTAATTATTAAATTTCATAATAAGTCTTTATATCTGGTAGAGATAGTTCTGTTTTAGTCTACTTCATGAATGTTTTCAATATTATCCATTTTCATTTAAATTTTTTTTAATGTTTATTTCTTTTTGAGAGAGACAGAGATAGACTGCAAGTGGGGGAGGGGCAGAGAGCGAGGGAGACACAGAATCCAAAGCAGGCTCCAGGCTCTGAGCTGTCAGCACAGAGCCTGATGCGGGGCTCAAACCCACAAACTGTGAATTCATTACTTAAGCTGAAATCAGATGCTTAACGACTGAGCCACCCAGGCACCCCAGTCTCCATTTTCATTTTAGGAACAATATTAATTTCTGTAAATGCACAGTGCTAAAAAGAAGGTGAAGAGTAATATATTAAATTTCCAAAAAAGTGTATTTATTTTAGTGGACTTCAAATCACAATACTCCATAAAAATTGGTACAATTTCCTCAGATGTTTCCACCAAAAAAAAAAAAAAAAAAA